GTCACCCAGCTGGATGATCCATCACCTGGAGGAGGGATATCTGGCTCACACAGTCATGCCATCTTCATCCAGGATGTGCCACATCTCCATAACCCCAGTAGGTTGACTGATTTCTTTGCTCCTGCTTGGCAATTGGAAGATGGCTGACGTGCACACAATGAATCTGACCCATGGGATCCAGACCAGTTGAGAAAACAGCTGAACTCTTCTTTCAGGTCACTTTGTCAGCAGAATTAGTCTGGCTTTAGAAAAGTAAATCCTAATTTAAAATTTTGTAACTGCAAATTGAACTGCATCCACTGCTGTGATGAATGTAGGTGAGTTTTTTCCATACAGGCATAAAAATTGGTGTTTATCTCTAATGGTTAGTGTACAGGATATCACAACATTTATTTTATTTCCAAGTGTGGTGGCTTTCTTGCTGTCACCTAAGGTAGTCTCCATTTTCTGCATAAACATTGTTTAATAACAGAATAACAGACTATCACCCCAGATTCTGTACTTTTGTGTTCATCAGCTAAGTGTTTTTTAAGATGTGCATGAAAAGAATTGTGTTGCTACAAATGTGAGTACATAGAGAACATAAGGCAAATATTGAAGGTATACATTTATCTTAAAATCTCCTGGTGAATACAAACAAAGCAAAAGGACCTTGAGTCTCCCTTGTATTGAGGTGATCTGTATGTTGTATCCTTTGGACATTTCTCACTGTCTGGTGAAATGACCCTGTATATCAAAGAAAATATTTATTTTCAGACATATTTTATTAGTTTTGAAAGATGGAAAAAATCCTAAAGTGCTGAGAATTATAACATTAGCCTAACTGTTGAGCAAATTTTTTTCTTTTATTCTAGTGTGAAGTAACCAAGATTCTGATTTTGTGTGATGATTTACACTCAGCTGTAATGTGGCTTGTTGCAAAATTGCTGTAATAAGAGTTGCAAATATCTATCAAGGAGAAGAGAGTAATTAGAAATAAAAGCCTGTGTAGGAAAACCCAATGCTATAAATAAAAATGCATGCTGTAAATAAATAATGTATAGATATGTAGATCCTAGAATGCCAATAAGCAGCACCTGGACAACCTCTCCTGAATGTTCCACCAAGTTCAGGGGCCCAATTAAATGGTGGAAGATGATATTGTATTTCTGGGAAGCCAGCTGTTCTCTAGCATTACTCAAGGGAACCCATTGAGGTGTGAAGGTATAAACTACTCCAGCAGTGGGCTTCTAAAATTTCTCCTTTAGTAACCAAGGGTAATCTTCCCTTCAAAGAAAAACTCCTGATTTCAGACATTTCTTTTAGCAACGAGATAAATTTTAATTATATTAGTTTTGTCTAACTTTATACTTCTGATAAACCAGTGGTTTATCCTATAGTTTTTTTAGCAGTATTTTAAGGAATGTTTTAGTAGGATGCAAGTCTGTTATTTTCTCATATATTTGAGGAATTTTGGAATTATTTTAGGTAATCTAGGTTTTCTTTTTTTTCAATGAATGAAGCAAACAGTAAAAGAGAACAGATATGCTCATGTTAATTTTCTAGGCACTCCCAGAAAACAGCTATCATAAGGAGGATTTGACTTGTCATCTGGAGCAAGTTGTCTTGCTATGTATTGCTATCTATAGATACAACATAAAGAAATGATAATGATTTAGATTAGTCATGTAACTTTTAGACAGCTAAAGCTGAGCCTGACTGCTAATTGTTGCTTTAAAAGAGTCATTCTTGTTGTTCAGAACCCTTGATTTCTTTCAATTGCATGTGATAGAAATCTATTTAAATCAACCTCTTTTCATGTTCTTGTTTCAGCTGCTGAAGAGCTGCTATTTGTCAATCCCTTTCACTAGCAGTGTCAGTATAAATTCTTTTATGCCTATATTGATGCTGTCAGATGGTAGCTGGCAGGCTCATTGCTTTGGGGATGCTAAAACTTCATGTGGGAACAATAGGAAGCAGGGCATTTTCAGGGCAGAGAAATCCACCAAGGGTTCCTATATGTGTGCAGAGATGATCTGTTGCTGTGGAAATAGTGAAAGTCCTTGAAATACAGTGTCATTTCCTTGTTTTGAAGTCCTTCCTGAGCATCCTCTTCTTGGCATTTGGATCTTGGGACAGAGGATATTTTGTTATGTAGCACTGTGGCATATTTTTAAAGAAATGGGACCTTTTTGAACATAAGAATTAACACCTCTAGACATGATTATTGGTCCAGTAAGGACAAAAATTGAAGGCCTGGATTTTTTACCGGAGAGAACTCATTCCCAGGGGATTTGAGGATACCAGTTCTTGACAGATTCATGAGGAAATATATCACAAGGGAAATGTTTGTTCCTTTTGCATAGGCTTCAAGCCCCACAAGCCACCTGTTGATAAACTGCCTTCTGAGGAATGCTCTTCATCTCCTGCAGCCCAGGTATATTCCCTTTCCAAAGGGCTGATCTCATTGGGGCCCTTGTGGAAAGCATAGGACAGTGTAGGAAATGCCTGAGTAGGTAATAAGCTTGTTCCCCCTTTGCTTGGAATCGTGGATCAAAGGCTTCTGTAATTTTCACAGGTAGGAATAATTTGCTAGTGCAGAGATCCATCTAATTAAATTAAGTAGGTGCTTCACAGGGTGCACATACTGTGCACACACTCTTACAGATGTACCCCTGAATCCAGTATGCAGGCATGGATTTTTGCCCTTTCCTGTTTTCTCTTAAGTTTAGAGGCTGAAATTTTATATAGGGGGGGGGTTGTCTTTCTTGTTTAGAGATGCTAAACACAGATATAAGGGATTCCGAAATCCATCAGACTCCTTTCAAAATCCTTGCTGTTATAGTTGTATTACTAAAAGTAGTACTAAAAGTAGTACCTACATCCCTGATATGGAGTTAAAATATCTATAGTGTTTACTTAGAAGTGATTAATGCACTTATCTTTAAGCTTCTGATTTTTCTAGCTCTCATCAGGTCAGATGGGCTTTCATTACCTCCATGGAGCAAGACTGTTCAGGTCAGGTGTTTTGGGTGATCTGGTTTTGTGTGTTGTCACAAGGTAAAGGTATAGACAAGGTATTCATGTGCCTCTCAGAGAGTGGTCAACAACAGTAAAGAAGCAGAGGAAGGTATGAAAAGAATGTATGCTGCTCTCAGCCTGCCACCCTCACCTCATTTGAAATTGTTGCCATGAGGGACATCTTTAGTAGGGTTTCTGTGGACAAATTTCTGCTTAAATGGATTCCTTAGGTGCTTTAATTTAAAAATCCTAAGAAAAAGAGATAAATGCATGGAGATCTATTATTCGATGTCAAATATGCTGGATAAACAATGATGTGATGTACTCAAAACTAATCTTAGAATTGGTAGCTAAGAGAGTTCAAGCATCCAACAGTAGTGCTCACTGCAGATAAAACACTGCAATGTCTGGTGCTGGTGATTTTTGAAGTCGTTTGTAAAGTTATGTATATTTGCTTGTACAACAGTTGTCATAGGTGACTTTTAGCTAAAGAGTTCATATCATCATGTTGGCCATCATCAAAGAGGGAGTTGAATTCAGGGGGACAGGTTTTCAAAGAAGAAAATACTGGCCACTGTCAACTGATGCACACTATTCCAGTATTACATATTTCTTGTCTTGTCCACAACAGAGAATATTCATCCTAAACCTCAACCCTTTCCTAGCAGCCAGTTTCCCTGGTAACAAAGCCAATGATTCACTGAATTAGACCAGGGTAACTATGGAGCCATACTACTGACTTAATTTGAGGCAAAATTCTGATGTACCTGGAAATAGAACTGGTGTTGGTAGCATTACATGAGCTCTTATTGGAGTCTTTTTTCACCTCAGTTAACTAATCCATGACCAGTCAGCCAAATAAAGTCCTACCCCACACTTTGCCTCCTCCTGGGTTCAGACTCCTGGCTGTCTTCTCTATCAAGTGATTAAAATGCAAGGCATATCCAATGATACTAAAAGATTTGTCTGTGTTCCTGAATCATTGCCATGTTGCCCCAGGATAAGGCTTTTTAGCATATCTGAAAGAGGGTATGTGTCTCTTCTGCTAACTAGGACATGTTAGATGAAGATTTCTCTCAGAAGTATCTTAATTCCCCTCCATATTTTTTTCTAGAGAGCCAATCCCCTTATAATCCTATTGAAATTAGAGTTATATTAAACTGAAGTTAAATTAAGGCATAGCTACCAGTGAACTTAACAAAGTTTCAGTGAGTATTACAGCACCAAAATTTGAGAGACCAACAAATCATGACCTCCTGCCATGTTAGCACCTGAATGCTTACCCAGGCTTCAGGCATGCCTTGTAACTGCCCTTGCCATATGTCCATATAATGCCTTTATTTAATTCCCTACCCCTTACATGTGCAGCAGGTAGTCTTTCATTTCTTCCCTCCATTCTCTCAGCTCTGAATTAGAGAAATATTGTTCAGCTCTTCATTTTATGATATTTTGCTTGCTTTTTCACCTGATTTTTGTAGCAGTGCAATACTATTTAGCTTCATGTCAGCCACAGCTGAATTGAAGTTGCTCTATTCAATCCAGGATACTCAAGAGGGAATAGCCAAATAATAAAGCAGCACATGATCTGTGTTTAGCAATTGAGTTTGCTCCCTTCAGTTTGTAATCTGTAACTGCTTTTTCATGATGCTGCTAATTCAAACATCAGCACTACTTGAGCATCATTTCATGTGGGTTTTTGATAGGCTAACAATTTGGAGTTTGTAGTATTGTTTAAGTCAATTTTGTTGTAAAAATGTTCAAGTTCTATCTTGACTCAACACTGCACTCAATAAAAGCCAAAATTAGAAATACTTGTAATTAAAACATCATCATTGTCATCTAAATTGCTGCCCATCTGAATCAGGCTGAAGTGCACAATGCATTGATATGCAGAGATAGTTTCAGACTCTGCAAGTTCAAATATTTCTACATATTTCTGTATCAGATACCCTCATTTTGTTGCTTAAAGTTTGCTTCTCCACATTATAACAGCTGGAGACTTGCTTTGCTTTAAAGAACATAAAATAACTGGGAGAAGTATCTGTAGCTGACACACACACACACACATGAAATTCTGCCATGCTCTCAAGGCAACAAGCCAACACCAGATTGACTGCCACAGCATCTCAATGCCCTGACTCTTCCCCTGCTTGCCAAAATTAGGCTTGCATGAGTGCCAACATCTGGTGCAAGCCGTACTGTATTTTGGATCTGTGCCTTGCCACCACCTGGAAGAAAGACTATAAATTAAAGCCTGGAACTGAAAGGCATTTGATTTTGTGAGCTGTAGGGAACATAACATTTCTGTTTGTGTCTACTCATCTGAGTATTTCACATTAGATAATAAACTGAGAGGACTGCATGTATCTAAATCTAAACTAACTACTTAATGATGGAACTTTTTATAAATTAGTCAACAGCTAGCAGTCAAACCAAATGGCAGCAGATGGACTTCATGGTGCCTATTCCAAACCCTTTGTTACTCTGCTAGTCCCTCCAAATTCCACTCTTGTTGCAACCTCCTTATTTTAAACAAGCACAGTTGCCTTCTTTTTCCTAGTATTTGCTCAGCTACTTTACCCAGAGGGTTCTATTGCAAGGGATTACAAAGGCTTAGTCTGTTGCTGGACTGCTGAGTCCTCGCTGCCTCCATTGTCCTTCCAGCATACTGGCCTTTGAAGCAAACATCCAGATTCTCGTCTGTGTTTTCAAATTTGATGAAGGATTTTCTCAGCACTGCATTCTTCTTTGGGAGGTTTTTCATTTGTCCTCTCTAGTTGCATCTACATTGCCATCTGCCCAAGAATGCCAAGTCCCCTCATCATGGCCTGGGATCTTCCCTTTCTCTGAGATGTGTCCTTTACAAGAGAGTAGGTAATAATAGAAAATAGGACCAGACATGCAAACATTATTTATCCCACCTGCAAGTATGAAACACAGACTCCACAGCTTCTCTTACTTCAGTGTTTGTTTTTGGGCTTGGTTTGGGGATTTTTGGTCAGTGGGGTTTCTTTGTTTTGTTTTGACCACTTGATGGCTAGGAGTTTTGCACGCTAGCCTGCTGTGTCTCTGTCCATGTGTTAGTTGTCTGTCCCTTGGCAGCAGCATTCAGGTATGGTTGGCACTTGCAGCTCCCTGAGTATGACAGTCACTCAGCTGCTGTCTCTGAGCTGCTTTTCTACACCTGCCTCTGGCCACAATGGCTGCTGTGCTTAGGCCTTTTTCAGCTACTCCTTTGTGTGTCTGTTGCATAGGCTGGGGTCCTTGCTCACCTATGGTTTTGGTTTTTACTAGCAGTGACTTCTGTAATGGGCTGTGTCATCCTACCATCATCTTCCTGACATCTTGCAATGTGCCTTTGTAGTTCCACTCATGCAGCAGGTTTACTCCTGCTCCCAAGGAGGAAGGTTCACACATCATGAAGATTGGTTGCTTATATTTTGGAATAGTGTACTGAAGTCCCTCCAGGATGCTGGGCAGGAGGTTGACCTTAGTACCAACCCTGAGTTGGGAGTACCCCCTGGTACTTTGTGGGTAAATAAGTGAAGATATCAGTGAGAGCTTTTCACACTTGTTCTTACCATTTGAATTCTGCTGCTGAGACATTGACTTATTGCCTGAACTCAGTCTGGTGGTTCTTCTGTATCTTAAAAATGGGATTTAGGGTTTTTCTATTACATTTGTTGTCTAATTCAGGTGGTCTGCATGGCTCCTTATCTCTGTGCCGTATGACATTTGTTGACAAGATAGTGTTAGGAAAAAACACAAATCACATGACATCAGACAGCCATATATGAACTTGAGTGCTAATTTCCCATGTTAAAAAATAGACTAGTCGTATGTAGTTGTTGTCAAACTATCCTCTGAGTTTTTGGGAGCATTCTGGGCATGAAGAAGCTGTGAATAATGTGCTGTTCCTTCCATGTACCAGGAGAAATCAGACATTATTCCAGAATATCCAGAGGAAAGTACTGAGGTGCAATATTAGACTGCAGCTGTGAACATTTTCCTGTGGCACTCTGAAAAATAGGGTGTGCCCCTTACAATCTTGGTGTACCTCAGGGATAAGAGTAGTGCAAGTGGAGTCATCAAACCAAGAGACAGACCCTCCCAAGACTCTTCATACTCCCTGGGGAGGCTCCTTTCCTTCATAACCAGCTAATGAGAAGCCATCTCTCAAGTAGGTCACTTCACTTACTCCCGTACCATGGACAGCTCCAAACTAGATCAGATACTGGGTCAGAGCTATAATTTGTTTAGTAATTCATTTTATAAGGCTCTGAAGAAAATGAGTACCTTAGAATTGCTTTTACAAAACAAAACAAAACAAAAATACTCAGTATTATCACAAAGCTAATTTTGCTAAAATAAATCAAAGCATAACAAAATTCAGACAGGATTAAGCATGAAAAAGTGCTACGCCTTTTAAAATTATTTGGTACAACATAGAAAAAATAACACAGATTATTTCTCTTGCTCTTACAAAAAATAGAACCACTTCTGTGAGATCAGACTTGAAACATTTCTAGAGTATCAGATATAATCAAATGGATGGAAATGCTTTATTGGCATTTGCATGTAGATGTTGCGCTTTCCTCACAAAATCTTCTCAGATGTTGTACTTGTGGCCCTCTCTGGATATTCGATTCTGTGAACAGCTGCTGAACATTCAGATTGATTGTTTTTCCTTCACATCCTATTGAAGAGTTCGTTGATGCTTCTGCAGTCTGGTGGCATTTATATTTGAGCACATCCTGAGCCTGTGTTCCAGCCCAAAGCTGCTCTGTAGATTCAAAGTGCATCCAAGCTAGCCCTGTGCTCAGCAGCAGACCTTAGGAGACCTCGGGGGTCCAGAAGAAGCATGTGCTATGAGCTCTAAATGAAAATCTTTGGAGTGCAGAAAGTCTGGACAAGTCTATTCCAGTTTGGTAGCAGCACTGGATGGTCAGTGTTGGGCTCCATCATCCATCAGCACAGCACACAGATGATAAAGCACTCAAATGCAGGGTGTACTTATGCAAACAGAGGGGACAAACCAGGCACAACTAAGAATGTTGCTGTCCTTTATTACTCAGTCTGAATACTATTACTCAGTTACAGGCCCTGCTGAGCCTCTGGATGCAGAATAAACATTGATACCTTAAAGACCTAGAAATAAAACAACCTACTTTTGAGACAGTATTTCTGTAAGAGGTAATATAAAAGCTGGTTTTTATTGGGGGCCTCCAAGGGGCAGATATGGAAAATGCCTACTCTCACATGGGATAAATACAGTTTTATGTTTAGAAAATTAGCATAATTGGAAAAAATACCCAATTAGAGACACAAATAGTGAAGTAATTCCCCCTTTTGGTTCCACCTTTTACTGTAGCCTCCTTTTAGATAGCAACTAAACTTTGCTTGTGAAATGTTTCTCAAAGATCTGGTTTCAACTTGGGCTTCCAGAAAGAACCAAGACAGGAGAAGGACCTTGGACACTGCAGCTTGGAGCCTCTAGAATGTGTTTTGTCTTTCTACCCATCAGGGTAGGAAGGAGTACTGGGGCTAGCTAAGAAACTATATAACTATACAACAATAGAGCTATGAATATATATGAAGCAAAAGATAGAAAATAGATTTTAAAATATTTATATATAAAATATGTATTAAAATATGTAAAAATATAAAATATAAAAGCAAAAATAATTCTGAAATCAATATGGTTGTTGTGGCAGCAAGCTCAGCTGCTCATGTGTGTAGATAACACATACCTTCACTACCCCCTCAGAGGCAGGATGTAAAAGGTCTGTTTCTACTTGCAGACTTCACCAGGCCCAGATATTTCTAGAACCTTGGTACGATTTGGGTTAGAAGATCATCTTGTTCCAAGTACCTGGCATAGACAGGGTCACCTTCTATTAGACTAGGATTCTCAGTGCCCTGTCCCTACTGACCTTGAATATTTCCAGAGATAGAGCATTCACAGCTTCTCTGGGCAACCTGTTCGTGTCTTGACATTACTTCAATAACTGCTGTCTTCAGAGAGATTCAATAATTTAAAAACTAGGAAACAGTACTCACAACTTTTCCAATATGTGCATGCCAGCATGAGGATTTCATTTAAAACTAATTCTAAAATAATTAATCATAATTTTATTTTCCTTTTACGTTTATTTTTCCTTAAAGTTATTGATGCAACATTTAAGACAAGGGGTGTTAGGCAATATACACTAAAGAACTTCTTCAGCCCCATCCAGTACATGCTTGGTTGCAAAAAGCAATGCTGAATTTCACATAAGTTTAGAGCTGAAAAGAAGCCACTGTAACTATCCTGGGGACTAGGTCAGCATTGCCCTGTGTCTGCAGAGCAGTGAAGAAAGGGTGCCAGTATAGATCTAAAACTATATAAAAAATGAGGCAGCTGCAATAATTACATAGGACTTCCTTTTTTATCTCAATTTTGATGACGGAAGAAAGTGGATTTCCTACCAAGATAAGATGAAGTGCAGCAGTGATGTCAATATCAGTCAGCCCCTTGAAGACATGAAGGCTTCCTGAGGAGCTGGATGAGCCAGAGCAGAGCAGGGGCCCTAGGTTGACCAACTGCACCATTCTTAACAGAAGGCCAGCCACATCACAGAGTAGGAGAGCACAGAAGTCCCATTACCATCCCAGAGCAGCAGCATCAGATCCTGCAGCTCCTGGGCCACGGCCACCAAGGGGCCGCAGCTACACGGGGTGCCAAGGGGACTTGAGACACCAAAGGGAGGGATTGGTGTTGGAGACAGAGGCAAGAAACTCATGAAACTCAGGCAAAGAATGCATGAAACACCTGTAGTGTGTCTCTGTCCTTGTTTGTGAAGTGACCATCAACATCCTGGAAGGGGGTGATGATATTTCTACAATGTTTTTTCCCATTAACGTGTTTTAAAACGCTCTTTTTATTGTGCCCCCGCCCCGTTTTTAGTTCTGGCCGCCTGCACGTCCAGTTGAGCGATCACCACAGCAGATTTCTCCCTACAGTGACAATAAGCATCTGTGTATTCTTCTCCTGACTTGGATTCCACGGGGCACACAGCTTCCTTTTCCATCCCAGAGAAGATGCCTGTTCAGGCAAGGCAGCCTGGTGCCTCGCCTGCTCGGCCTCTGACATCTGGGAATCGCCGGCTCC